CTCCAGGTTGAGCTGTTGTTCAGCATCTTAGCTGTGGAGGGCAGTGTCACTGGCCCTCATATGTGGGATCCGAACCGGGACCCTCTGGCGTCCCAAGCCAGTTCTTAACCATCGCGCCACTCAGCTGGCCCAGTATATACATATTTTTTAAAAAGATTTTTTTCTGTTCCTTAAATACTCTTAGTTTTTCGTCTTACAATGTGGGCCAAAAAAGGTAATATATTGCAAATCAAACTGAATGCATTTTATTTAAAATAACCCAAAATATTTTTCTACTAAGTTATTTATTTTATAGTATACCTTTGCTAATAAACATCCTTTCTCCATTACCCCAAATTTAGGGATTCTGGTTTGTATTTTTCATTGAAAGTAAGTAGTGTACTTTTTTGCTCTTTTTTCTTCTTAGCACATGTGTCTTAATTTAGTTAGTGATTTTTATTGGGAAGAGCCTTAATATTTTCAGGAGATAGAAAAAAACTGTGCACTATGTCTAATGACACAAGCAAACCTTTCACATAGTTGTACCACACATTCATTTGGGATTTATCTGGATTATTCTTAAGCCTCCTTTTAAAGACGTACCTCAAGTTAAATGTTCCCAGGTTCATGCTTGTTTTCCTAGCATACATTTTATTCTATCCTCATAACACTGTGTACATAATTTTAGTGCCATTTATTATTGTAAATATTTACATGCCTATCTACTTGACTGTTAAGTATTTCTAGCCTATAGTAGGCTTTCATATTTATTTGAAAGCACTATTTGTATGTAAAGAGACCTTTCAGTGCTATTTTCAAAATGATAATATTGAAATTTCCAGTGGATACTGTTATTTACAAGTAAATAAATTAGGCTGTTCAAGTGAGAAAGGGAAGTGTTACAACATATAAGTGCCATCTATTGGACACTTGGTAAAATGACTTTAGAAATAAAAGCTTCTTAAAGTGTCTTAGAATGTAAATTCATTTTATCATAGGCTACTATTGCTGACATAATGCATTTTTTCTCTAAAAGCAGTATTGATATTCACCAACATAAATAGTTAATATTTGACTACAGTTTTACTTACCTTCCTAAAGAAAATTAGCCAAGTGTTAATGTAAACATTGTTAAACAGGAAGTTTAAAGACACTGATCCTTTAAAGCTTATTTTAATTTAAAAGAAAATATTGGCTTTTGGTGTGTGAAAGAAATTTAATTTAGTTGAAGAAAAAGATATAGCTAGACATCTGTTTAAGTATTTGTCAGTTAAGTACTTTTTTAATATTCTTAACATTGGGTGCTATTTTGTTTAATTTTGAATAATATATAAACAATTACAGTATCACTATGCGATATTAATGAAATAATATATGTGGATAATATACATATATTAATAATATGTGTGTGTGTGTCTGTGTGTATGTGTTTAAGGTGTGGAGAGTAGTGAAATAAAAAGGGGGCTAAGGTTCAGGTATACCACTCTGAAATCATGTAGTGCTTTTAAGATATATATGTATATGAATAAATTATATATTGAGCATAACATGTAAAGAAATCCTGCCCTTTAGAATCTTTCAATTATGAGAAGAGACAATTTGGAAACTTATATTGTTTATTATATATGTAGCTTGAAGAAATGCTTAAAAATTTTTTTATGGCGTTACAGTTTTGTGTATTAACTATATGTTTCCGATTATGTGTTGTCTTTATAAGAATGAACAAAACAGATTTATAAGCTTACTCATAATGTTGGTGTGCTTTGTGCTTTTTTTCCATTTTAAAGAGTCTTAGTTTTGACAGTGTATTTCATGCTGAACAGAGTTTCAAAAGCAAGGAAAAGAGTATTATTTTTCAGAAACCCTAAGAAATTGCCTATAGCAGTCATGATGAATACCAAAGAAGTTCTTTATTTCTGGCTGCTTCTGAATATTTGTGATGCCTGGAACAGTTCATCTTTTAGTTACTTAGTGCCCAGTTTTTTGGCACAATGATAGTTTTCTGACTTTAGGTTTGATGCTACTTGAGAAAAGATTGGTTCTTGTCTTTTCAGATAGCTAAAATATTCATTTTCATATGAATAACATTTATACATTTTCAAAATTTGTTGTAAATCTTATGCTGACTTTCTAAGAATGTAAGAATAGTATTTTTTTTTTTAAGATTTTTATTGGGGAATTGGGGAAAGGGGAACAGACAAGTTGCTGTCTTTTTGTTCTTCAGTCTAGTTGTGGAGGACATTGCTTCACTGGCCCAAGTTGGCACCNTTGCTTCACTGGCCCAAGTTGGCACCATCATTGCGCTCTTCCAGGGCAAGACAGATCAGTTGCCAGCTTCCGGAAGGCTGCTCACTGCAGCTGCTGCCCGCTCACGCTGGCTGCTGGCTACACACGGTAGCCCATGGCAACCCACTGCAGCAGAGGCTGCAGACTTCGCCATCACCGGCGACTCATGGCAACCCATCTCCAGGTTGAGCTGTTGTTGAGCATCTTAGCTGTAGAGGGCAGTGTCACTGGCCCTCATATGTGGTATCCAAACTGGGGCCCTCTGGCGTCCCAAGCCAGTTCTTAACCAACACGCCACTCGGCCAGCCCAAGAATAGTATTGATGCTAACAATATGAGAACTAAATGTAGTTTGTCCAATCAGAAAATAAACTTACGATTTTAAGTACTGTATGTGTGATATAGTGGAAAGTAGGACATGGGATTTAAAGTTATAGAAACTGGGTTTGAATCCTGGCACTATTACTCACTAGCTGCTTTACCTTGGGGCAGGGGGGAGAGAGTATTGTGTCAAAATGCCTATAAACAATAAAGAACTGTTTGAATGTTAACTGTTAATTTGAGGCTTTGTAATTTTCTTTATAAGAAGAAATAGATTTGTATGGCAAATACTGAAGTCTTTATTTTGTATTCCTTAGCTGCATTTGTCATATCTAATGCTCATATTTGCTGTTCAAATTGTATTTCTGAGGAATGCTAATAGTACGTCAGATCAAAACTTTTATATTTATCAAATTATTATAGTTCCCACTTATGTCAGTTTTGTATTTGTGGGGGGTTTTTTTGTTTTTTTTTTTTTAAGATTTTATTGGGGAATTAGGGGAGGGGAACAGACAAGTTGCTGTCCTTTTGTTCTTCAGTCTAGTTGTGGAGGATGTCGCTTCATTGGCCCATGTTGGTATTATCATTGCGCTCTTCCCGGGTAAGGAGATCAGTCGCCGGCCACGGGACAGCCACTCACGGTAGCTTATGGCAGCCCACTGCAGCCTCACAGCAGCCCAGCTCCAGGTTGAGCTGTTGTTCACCATCTTAGCTGTAGAGGGCACAGCGTCACTGGCCCATGTGGGAACTGAACCGGGGCTCTGCTGCTCAGAGCTAGTGCCCCAAGCCAGCTCTTAACCAATGTGCCACTTAACCAGCCCGTTTTGTATTTGTTTTAATCAAGTGAAAATTTATTTATGGTTGAGGTGTTTGGTAAAGTTAACAGTAAGGCATTTACCAAAATATTGAGTATGTTGGTATTTCCTTTAAGTTTGATGAAATGTGTACATTGTATATACAGTTATAATTATGGAGCAGAACCATATTTATAGTACTTTTTCATTGAAATCATTTGTCTTATTTTATCTGATAACGTTTGTAGTTTTATTTGAACACTTGAAAGAAATCTTTGTGCGAAAGAAGGCTTGAGGAAAAGTTTCTGTATTAAAATAAACTAACTTGATTATTAGTTGTGTCACTTCTCTTGTAAACTTAAAATTGAATTATCAGAATTCATAATGTTAAAATTTTTCTGTTTTGAAGCTTTCTGTTAATTTTGGATGTTCTTTTTTTTGTTGCTTTTTTAAGGCAAAAAAGGGAAAATTGTTTTCTTGTTAAATAAAAAGACAAGTGTGTCTGTTGTCTTGCCTGTTTCTAAGAAACTCATCCATTCATACCCCTATTGCAGCATTTTCTTTTGTAGCTTAACACATGGGTGACTAGGTACATCTTTAAATATTGAGAGTAATAATGTTCCTAATTCTTTTGATAATTAATGACCTCAAACTGTAAAATTATATTTTTTTGCAGTATCCCTTTTACTATTCAGCGACTATGTGAATTGCTAACAGATCCAAGGAGAAACTACACAGGAACAGACAAATTTCTTAGAGGAGTAGAGAAGGTATTTATTTTATTATTGGAATTATATTAATTAGCACTGTAGATTTCAGAGAAGAACATTGAGTAAGATCTGTTTTAGGCACCTTTTCTTGAAATAAGTTTCTCAGCCTACCTGAAGTTTTTCCCAAATTGTTGTCTGAATTCTGGTCAAAGTTTCAGAGAGAGATTTATATAAAGGGAGCAGGGGGAGGTCTTGTGATGGATTAAGTTTGGGGAAAGCAGCTTAGCATTATCTCTTGGATATTCATACTATGTGCATATTAAATGTCCTGCAAAGTTCTATAATATTTAACTTCAATAGAGTGTTTTGCAAACTTGTTATCCCATGGAATTCATTTATTTCAGTTCTGAAATTCTGAGGTACACAACTTTGGAAAAACAAAGCATTTAAATTAGATATTGATGAAGGTAAAGGACAGATTCAAGAATGAAATCTGGTTTTCTGTGAGTGAGGGGATGTTAGTAATGAGGGAAGGGCATTTTGGACAATGGAAACAACAACGTGATGAAGAAAGACATCAAGTGTTTGAGAGAAGGGAAAGTAAATTGACTTGTCTAGTGTGAAGAACAAATGAAGGAGCCCCGTTGGGACCTAGATGGGACCAGTGGGTTGCAAATTTCTTCACTTGGTGATTTACCCTATAACATAGTCCAGTGTTTATTTTAAGGTTATAATTCAAATTCAGTTTACTTTATATTTGGAGCAAGAATCCAAAATCATTACTTAGTGACTCACAATAGATCATAGGACCTTACTGAATTAATATGTTGTGTTGAGTTTGCATGCCCTCAGTATAATAAAACTGGGGGAAATTGAGATGGTTTATCAATATGATTTTTCCACTCAGGGACTTTTAATAATTACATTTTGGCAATCTTTGGAGAAACAGACAGTGTTAACAGTAATCATACCAGGGGTGGCCCTGCATTCAAATCAGGGCTACAGTAAGTTTAGTAACCCTATACTGGTTACTTAACATAAGCCTCAATTTTCTTGTCTGTAAAATGTGGATAATATTAGGGCTGTGAGGAGGATTAAATGTAAAGTATTTACTCTGGTTCATAGTAAATTTTCAATGAATATTGACTATTAATGTTAATAAAGTTATTACCAAGAAGATTTAGATAAAAAAGATTTGAGTTTCCTTCTTTAGGGTATATGATACTGCACATCAAGCTTTGTTTGGATTGGTACTGCTTTATAAGGAAATTCATTATACTTAGCCTAAGTGCTTCAATATCTAAATATCTTGGGGTGATTCTATCTAAAATAAGGAGAGCACGGTTCTGTTCTATTACATACAATATATAATGTTAGGGCCCCAAAGTAACTAAAATAGAATAAAAAAAAGAAGACTGGGAAAAAAATAAATGCACTAGGATATTAGATTTTGGTCTTTTGTTATTATTTTAATTTTTGTTGTTTGATTATAAGTTTTTATTTTTAAACATTTATTAGTAAAGTCAGAATAAATGGAAACTTAACCTACCAGGATGAATTTGAGAAATTAAAAAATGATTAAATTTTATGTTGCAGTACTTTTCTCTTATTAAATACCAATTTTTGTTATTGCAGAATGTGATGGTTGTTAGCTGTGTTTATCCTTCTTCAGAGTAAGTATAGATATTTTTCTATTTCTAATATATTCTAATTATATTTCTAATATATTAGTTTAAAATAGGTAACATTTATTTTATATGTGATTATGCCTGATAACATTTATAAATACTTGGGAATCTACTACCCAGTTTCCAAAATAGAACATTTCCAATAACATTACTTGTGTGTTTTTCCATTAAAGGGGTTTGGATTAAAGGATTCATGATTTAATGTAATCTTAACATTGTTGGGTTTATGTATTGTCATGGCATTCAGGGTCCTGAGATCCCATCCTAGATACCTTTCCAGGGCATCTCTAGGGCATAACTCCTAGGTTTGGAATAGCTACTTGATGACATTCCTCTTCATGATGGAAAACTGTCTACAGTTGTCAAGATGTATATAGCAAATTAAGATGTCAGTTAAGGACACAGTCCTTAGTTCTATTAACATTTTGTTATGAGAGGACATCCTAGAAATTGTAGGAGGTTTAGCGGTGTCCCTGACCTCTACCCACTAGTTGCCAGTAGTGTCCCTCTTTTCCTCCAAAATATCTTCAGATGTGTCCTGGAATACAGGGTGTGGGGGTAGGGTATGGGGTTTGAGGAGGATGTTGCTCCCATTAGAGAAACATTGGTTTAAGGTTAAAATATCTCAGATTTCATAGACAAAAACTGAATGTTTTAAAAGTATTTTTTCAAGAATATACCTGTTTTGTTAAGACAGTAAGATTATTCCATAATTGGTATTTCTCACAGAAGTCTTTTTGTTTGACAGTAAGATCTCACAAAAGATCTTATAGACCTATGATTTTTGTCAAAATTAAAGAACTAAGTCCTCCCTAACTTTTTTTTCATAGAAAAAACAATTCTAATAGTTTAAATCGAATGAATGGTGTTATGTTTCCTGGAAATTCACCAAGTTATACTGAGAGGTAAGATTCTTGACTTTTAATATTCAAAGATGTACATTTTCCTAATTTTGGTAGCAGGTTCTGTATATATTTTTTTAAATTGGTCATTTTATTTATGGAGGATAATAGGATATACTAAACAGAATTTGTTAATTGGTAACCTTTGGATCTGAAAGTCTAAATTACAGCAAATTCTTCTGTGAGGTATTCATTTAAACAAACCTTGGGAGGGATGACTTTTTAAAAAATGGGAAAATAATGCTCATGTATCTTACCATAGGTCTAATATAAATGGGCCTGGAACACCTAGGCCACTTAATCGACCAAAGGTTTCTTTGTCAGTCCCCATGACAACAAATGGCTTGCCTGAGAGTACAGATGGCAAAGAGTCAAACTCACAGCAAAGTGAGGACAAAAACCACAGGTTTGTATGTGATTTATATTTAAAAACAAAAAAGTTTTTATGAAACGTTAATATTTATTGATGGTTTTCAGCATTCATTGTTTACTATTTACAGTTTACTATTGTTTTGAGGGATAGAACATGAGGTTATGCTTCTGTTTGCAGTGTTAGCACATGCTGAAGATGGGTATAGAAAAGGCTTAAAACTGATAATTTGGGGAGGTCTTCTATAAAATAGGATCTTAAGACAGCAAAGTGGTCATGATGCATTTTATTTCTTGTTTTTGACAGTTACTAAAGATATTTGTAAATGAGTTGAAATTTGTGAATAATTTCTTATTGTAGATCATAAAAAAACATATATACCCCATCTTAAAATTTCTGTATCACATTAAGGGAAAGAAGACCAAATGAGTGAAAGGATTTAAAGAGCTATGTCCATGTAAGAAGACTTGTAGTTTTATTCCAGGAGGACATTTAACTTACTGGAGAAGTGAACAGAAAGGTCATATAACTTGTTGACTAGATCTTTGTGGGAAATAATCATTAAACAGTTTAGTTTCCCTTGAAATTTTTCTCTTGTGTTTTCTTTGCCCAGATGTTATAATTTAACTTTGACACTGAAATACAATTAAAAAATTATTAGACCTTAAAAATGAGAATGTAGAAGATGAAGAAAACAATCTTATTAATGATGCTTTAAAAAAACATTTACAGTGAATCTCTGACATCTGAATCGGAAGGTTCCTCAATGAGCCCTATAAAAAATAAACATCCAGGTGAAGATGCTGTGGAAACTGAAGGGCGTGAGGTGAAAAGACTTCGGTTTGACAAAGAAAGTGAAGTCAGGGAGACAGCCAGTCAGACATCTTCCACTGAAATTTCTTCAGTTATGGTAGAAGAAACAGAAGCATCATCTTCATCTCAGGATAAAGACAAAGAAAGTAGTTGTACCAGGCAGCACTGTTCAGAAGAGGAAGAAGAGGAGGAGGAGGAGGAGGAAGAAGGTATTTAGAGACCATCTGTAACAGGGTGGAGTGAGGAGATGCTCAAATTTTGCCCTTCATTTTTGTGTGAAAGAATTTAACATAATGGAGCTCCTTATAATGTTGATGTTGGGCTTTTCTCCCGCATTTATATAATTGCTGCTGAGTTTCAGGGGAGGTGAATATCACAATTCATGAAACTTAACTGTGGAGGTATTTTGAAAATAAAATTTAACTACAACATTTGCTTTTTTTAGAGTCTTTTATGACATCAGGAGCAATGATCCCAGAAAGAAAAAATCAAGAAAAAGAATCTGATGATGCCTTGACTGTGAATGAAGAGACTTCTGAGGAAAATAGTCAAATGGAGGAATCTCATCTGACTCAATCAGAAAAAGATTTACATTCTGAAGATAGTGAAAATCGAGGCCCTGTAAGTAGTGGTTCTGAGTGCGGTGAAACAGAAGGAATAGTAAGATCCAATTCCAGTAAAACTGGAGAGATTCTCTCAGAATCCCCCAGGGAAAATGACCACAAAGCCCCAGAAGTCACAGATGAACCAATGGAACAAGACTAACTATTTAGAAACATTTAGATGGGTATTTTACATACAGTTCTGGTTTTACACTGTATAAAACTTTTATGTAATAAAGTGGACCTTTAGTTTTACAAGAGAAGCAGGTTGTAAAATAATGTACTTTGTGGGATAAATCCTGAAAGAGTTGTACATGTAAGAACTGAGTATCAGCTCCTCTGGGTCCTGCTTACCGCTGACTTTTTTTGGTTTGGTCAAATCAGTGGTTTGTGTATAGATTTTCTTTTTTTTTTAATTTAGAATTAAAGTTTTTAAACTGGAAAGTAATAATTATAATTTTGAAAACCTTTTGGAGATTATTTAGTTTATATGCAAGAAAGCATTCTGTCTTGTCTCTGACAGCTCTAGCAGTTTTCACATTTTGGTCATAGTTTCAGCATTTTAACATGTGAATTTTAGGGTTTCATGCTGATTTCCAGATTTTATTATTTGACTATGTACAATGGAACTTTAAGTCATACACACACACACACACACACACACACACACACACACACACACACATACACTATTCTAAAGGGGAAAATGTTATATTTTTCTGTTTCTATAAGAGATGAATACTACAGTGGATAGTTTTTCTATTGGTAATGATTAAGTTCACCTCTTTCAGAAGACAGTTTCTCTTTTGAGTAATTCAAATAAAATCTGACCCTTGTGAAACCCTGAAAATCTTATCTGTTGAAATACCAGGTTAAATACATTCCGAGAGATCTGTTCAAATTAAAATTCTTTTGTATACTTCTGAGGTGCCTGAGAAAAAGACTTCATTATTTATGAGAAAATGTGCTTTTTCTTGGAAATTGTGTTCAAACATTAGTTTACTGTTTTGTAGAATGAATGCTGGTAAAGCTGACATGAGAACATCTCTGAAGAATCTGTTAGGTTCCTTAATCTTTTTGCTTGCCTTTCTGAACATTGTGAATATTACACATTTCTTTCTAAATTATTCTAGAGTATGCAAATGTCAATGATATGAAACACCCACTGTACTGGAAGAATTAATATATTACTTTAGTAATGTACTGGAGCTAAGTGACTGAAAATTTAGGGGTGCATAGAAACCACCATAATTTGTATGACATTTTGAAGTGAATTAAATATTTTTGAACATGCTTCTTCGGCAGCCAGTGTTATATTTTTCAGATCAACACAAAGCACAATGATTACTCTAAATTCAATATTTTCAAATTCACATATAAAAAGTCATGCAAACTGCAACTTCCCTATCATAATTACTGGCTGCCAAATTTATACCTGTTTTCTTCAGCTGTACCTTTTGATATTTAGAATTTTTAAATTTCTGTAAAGTAGGTTTTGTAGAATGTAATGTGTTCACTGCCTTTGTGACGCGGTATATAACTGTATAATTTCTGTGTGTAAACTGAATGCTTGGGCTTTCAATACAGTATTCATATAAAGCAATAAATACCAATGTTATGAAATATTCGAGTACATTTTTATCAAAATATAAAAGAATCCCTTTTTTAGTTTCAGATACCTGAAGTACACATGAACTTATAAAACTCCAAACAGTTTTTGACACTGTATCATATGCTTTTGGGTGATTTGGGTGGCAACCACAAGTTTTGCATTTTGACTATTTAAGTTGCTATGACTGAAAATACCAAAATGATTTGGCTCCGTTTGTTTGCAGGGTAATATACTACTGACTGACTTGACTGTCAGGTTCACAGCAGCTAGATGATATATTTATGAATATGTCTACTAGTTGAAATAAAAACATTTACTCTACCCAAGAGGGGAGAAAAATCACATACTGTAAGATTTTTTTAAATTTTTACAAAATTGTTAAAATGAAGCAAATTTTAAATGTGACATTCATTTTTAGTGACCTGTTACTTTATTTTGTTGAGGGATATTTTGCCAGTGAGAACAGATTGTAAACATTTTAAGTTAAGAAATCTTGAAATTTCCTTTAGAATATTTATGAAGTTGTCAATAAACCTGTTCTTTTAAGATCCTCTGACCTTTTGATATTTTTATTTTAATTGTGCCATGGACCATTTGTAAGGAAATAGATTTACTTTTGTTGCTTATAAGTAGAAGTTGTAGCATCATGACTTTGAGGTCTGTGGTTTTATTTGTAAACTTGCAATTGTTATTTTTGCAAGGGCAAATGTATATCTTTATTAAATAAAGTACAATAATGGTGAATGTACCAAAATGCTATCACTTAATTCTATGAGAGATCTGCATTTTAATCTATAGTTTAATAGTTTTAATATTTATTAGATATTCATATGTTGATCATAGATCAAACTTGTTGCTGTTTATACAGATAATTGTAGAATGCTCATGAAATATCTGAGGATCGGTGGAATACTTCTGTAGTTAAACTGGGGAACCTTGTTCAGCTGATTTAAGATACTGATGCCCATTTAGAAGTAAATTTCTGCAAGTATGCATAGGTGAACTTACACAGACTTTGTTTCAGGCAAATGTCAGTTCTAATAGTAACTGATTCAGATGTTGATTTTTAAAAGGCCTATTTTAGGCACAATTTCTTAACACACATCAGCAAAGTCATATTAAAAGATCTGAAGATCAAGACCTCAGTGATTAAAAATATTTTTTTTTTTTTGGCCTTGAGCAGATTGATTGATTACCTGTTAGACTCTAGCCCCTGAACCCAACACACAAAAAGAATTTGAAGTGTTGGTCAGGAAGATGAGAATATTTATATAATACATTTTTTAGAACTTTTCCTTTTAAAAAGTAAAACCATCATATAACATTTTTTAAAATATCTTTTTTTTTTAAGTTAATTGGGGTGACATTTGTTAGTAAGGTTACATAGGTTTCAGGTGTAAAAATCTGTAATATATCATCTATATATCACATTGTGTGTTTTCAGTTCTGGAAATGTAGCAGAACAGAAATTAATGGAAATTGTAATGTTTTCAATGTTGACTATTAGATAAATTTAACTAATTCGGTTAGGGTTTCTTCTAACTACACCTGTCAGAAGTATGAACAGAGCAGTGAAATTGCCTATCAGAGTGCTATATCCCTTTTGCTTGGAAAGGCATTCCTGAAACCCTGTGCCAGAAGGTGTGACCTATTAAAACATGGAAGGCCAGTGTAGATAGGCATGTAATTATGCATTTTCACATTTGTAAAATCAGCAATTTTTCAAATAATTTAAATGTAATATACTAGTTTACTTATAAAGGTACTTGGGCAGAATCTAAAGCTGCTACAGTATTTGATTATGAGAAATGTAACTTGTGGTAAGGATGAAAATGCAACTTGTAGAACCAAAGGAAATAAAAATTTGGAGGAATGTTTCAAATTGTCTTCTGAACAGGAGTTTCTTAAATGCATTGGTTTTGATTAAATGAAGCTCAGTTCTCTTGAGATTTGTGCTAGTCATAAAATGAATGAATGCAAAAAACACCTTGTAATTTCTTTTGCAATTATTATAATTAGGGTTACTGGATTATTGGCCTAATAAGAATGCTAGGATGTATTGGTGAGAATACATATTTAATATTTCACATTAAAAAATCAGTACACTTCTTTCAGAATATTCTTTTATTTCAACTTGGAGCCTAGATTACTTTGCCAAATAAATGTATTATTTTCATAATGCAATAAAATATAAATTAGAAGAATATCTTGATGCGTGGAATTATTTTATGTGCTATAATAGTTCACACACACCACTTCACCCACCCCACTCATCTTAGGTGGTTCAGGATCCACAAGCATTTTCTAATCTATAGGGAGGAAAGGTTAATGCCTTATTTTATTACAGCTCTGTTTCTTATGTGATAACGGTATTTTTGCAGAGAGGGTGCATCTGAGTTGAATGGATGGTTGTTCTTTGCTGAGCAGCTCAAACCTGATATCTGACAAATTATACACCATGTAAAAATTTCTCTTGGCACAATTTGGCACTAAATTTGCACAGATCTATAATATTTAGAAGTCTCACTTTCAGACAACTACATGCTATGAAGTGTAGAATTGCCCTAAGTTGACAAGATGAATTCTGTTTTCAATTCTGGATTTTCGTTTCTTTATACCTAATTGCAGAGTAGGTAACAGTAGATAGTGTAACATCCTTGGCTCTGAAGTCAGAAGATAGTACTAATCATGTTTCTGAATTAAAATATTTTTTAATGTCCATTTCTCGTATTTAATCTCTAACTTATCCCCAGTTTATTTATTAAATGATATAGTTAGTACAGAGGTTTGGGTTAATGATTGGAAGATTGATTCTTCCACAGACTAGGCGTAAGGTGTGCAATCTAGCTACTTGCCTATGTAGAATGAAGAGTATACTGTTCCCTTGTGTTATGACAGTTTTAGAACAGACTTTCTAGTTTAAAATTAAGCATTAGAGTTTCTGGTCTTTGGATTTATTTGTAAACTTTCAAGGTTTTTCTTCCCAAAGGCAATTTCTTAAAAATAATGACATAAACTATAATACATATATAGTCATGGGATGTGGAGTATAGTGTGGGAATGGAGTCAATGGAATTGTAATATGTATGATATCAGGGGTGGGAGAGCAGTGGATGGGAGGGGGGGTTGTCACTTTGTGAGGGATGAAAAGGATAACTTGCACTGTTTTGTACACCTGAAAATAATAAAATTTTAAAATAATGACAAAGACAAATGTCAGCAATTCCCTGTGTCCTAGTCTGCAGAACAGTGGTTTATTCATTTTTATACCTCACAAGTAGCCCTGTGCTTGTCAAATGTTAACAGTCTAAATCAAGTGGTCTTTGTGGATACTGTCCACACAGTCCACTTTGGATTCCTAAGTTTTACCAATCGTGCGACTACTTTCTGCCCACTTCAAGGGTGCTGAGGTCATCTCTGAGGCCTTTCTTTGTTGCTAGGTTTGTGGAGTTGGGAGCAGTGCACACCCTATTGAATGTTCTTGACAGGAATTCCATGTGCAGTCAGACTGAATCACCAGAAAATGTGCATCCAAATAACAAAACTCCTGTGACTATAAGACCAGTTACCCTTGACCTACAGAAAGGGACAGTGACACACGCTCACCTAATAGGGGACAGGTGTTTCTATAGGTGCGAAATTGTGTCTTGAAATTTGCCAAGTTCTGCTTTAGATGTGGTATGATGAGACGATATTTGGTCAGTAATGGTTGCATCAAGAAATCTGCGGTTGAGTAGGCCTGCAAGTCTTTTAAGCAGCTTATAGTTGCTGAGAATTTGAAGGATAAATAATGTGGTATTTGGCTGTCTTGTTATTGTTTTCATTGCTTATGCTACAGAATGGTGATAGTGACAATTCCCATGTGCATGCAATCTCCCACTTTCAACCTGACTGGGTACCTAAAATTAAGTTATTTGGTTGGGATTCAGCATACAGTTTCTTGTATAAATTATTAGAAATGCAGCTAACTTTCAGGCCATTATACACAAACCTATTTAGTCCTAATGAGTGATTTAGTAGTTAAGCATTTAGAAATGTTTCTATTGGAAAATGTCGAGCAGTTCCTAATGTGGGTTTGTCAAAATGCCTCTTCCACAGTGTGATCATGCAAGTGAGAACTCCATAGACTGAGGTGTGTTGTGGGAATTAGCAGCTCACCAAATATGTCAGTTATTTTAAAGTCAGGTTATGGATGTAACACAAATTACTAAATCTTAATATTTGGTGATTCAGAATGCAGTAGAATTTGTAGTGCCTTGTGGTCATTATGATATTTTTGTATTGAATATTAAAAGTGTATTTAGAAGGCAGAGATAAATTTCCAATATATTGTATAGTTCCCTCTAAAAATTAATAGAGCACAGAAAGAATTCCAGGTGTTTGAGTGTTCAGTTTGTATTCTATGTAATGCATTTATGGTTATCAAATTTCATTTATTCCAACAAATGGAGGAAGGAGAGGTACACATGACATACAGATGTAAAAAAATATTTGTCTCTTATTAGGTGGCAACTTGTATTGAGTGACTATGTATTGGGTACTAAAAGAGTAGAGTTATGACCTTTGAAGAATTCAGTCTCCTTAAGGGAACAGTATGCAATGCAGGTTTTTAACGGTGGCTTGTGACTTGAAGAGATGCACAAGAGAGACACATTAGTGCACTTGTGACAGTCTGGAAAGTCTTCTTAGATGTGGGATTCAGCTTAATCTTGAGAGATGAGCATGACAGGGAGGTAGATGCATTAATGGGCAGAGAGACATGGTGAGTTGAAACGATAAGAGTTGAATCATAGCTTCACCATCCTCAACTGATGCATGTCGGGTAAGTTACAGTATTTCTTTCAGCTTTGTTTTCTAAAATAATATATCTGCCTGGTAGGATTGTTGGGAACATCCCAAGTAATTATGGGTATAAAGCTAGGTGTAGTCCAGGGCCTGACATTTCTTAACAAGAAACATGAAGGGGAAAATGTGTATTGTTCCTGGGGAATGCAACAGTTTTACTGGAATCAAAGTCGAAGTCGTTTCAATCCTAGTCAATACCAGGATAATCATAGCAAGCACTAATTGAGTACCTACTTTATGCTCCACATTTTTTCTTTTTAGGTTAGCCATCCTGCCACCTGTTGGCAGCTCAGCAGCAGCTCAGCTTGGGCGGGGAATCAAACCAGCGACCCTGTTGCTCATAGCTCACACTCTTGAGTGAGCTTTTAACCAACTGAGTCACTCGGCCGGCCCTCCATATTTTTTTTTTTTGCACATGTCATGTATTACCTCATTTAACCTTTCCATCAACTTGATGTGATTAATATCCCAATTTTATAGATGAGATATTTGAGGTGAAGAAAGGCAACTTGCCTTGGGACTCTGAAAGTGGAAGGTCAGAATGAGAATCAGGACTCTGACTCCAAAGCCCAATGGTTTTTATCCATTATGCTTAGGTACTGTCTAGTCTTGGAAGATATATTAGGGCGAGCGCAGCAGAAAGGAAGCCATTCCAGGTATCTGAATGTTCTCCAAGTGTTTAGACTTGCATATATTCAGGTAC